TTTCTTTTTATTAATATTCTACTCCTGGAACGGTTGTAATTTTCACCGACAAAAGAACGTGATCAAAATTTCAATGGTGATGGAAGCCCCAATGATTACTCACCTTGACTACATTGCTAATATTTACGTTGAGTATTTAATTGTATAAGCTTTAGTGGAATAAGTTTTTTATCACTCCGTGCCGAAAGTACTTTCTTCGATAACATCTGTTATCAAAGAAAGTAGTCTTTTCCCAAGCTCTAATTTAAAGCGAGGGAAAAACGATCAGCAGATTTTCCCTCTCGATTAGTTCTCCATTTACCCACTACGCGTGCTAGTGTTTTGTTACGGTTTATTTTAATGATCGAAATCAGCTGTTTTCATTGTTGCACAATCTAAATGAATACAGAAACAGGCATTAGTTTTTTTTGCTGTGTTTTAGCATAGTGCATGTTTGAAATTGCTCAAAATGTGACTAAAATGCCTGATGATTTGACGGAAACAGCTTCAGAAATAATTTATTACCAACCATCATAGAAACTACGGGAAAGAGATGAAGAGGAATAAGAACGTTTACAAACTGGTGCAAATAATTACAAACTGTTAAGTCAATTATAGGTGACGAAGAAGTTATTAATATATTAATCTAAACAAATCTATAATCGTTAAAATGGTCCTCGGCTTCACCTCGTACGTGAAAATAGCTCTCGCACCGGAAAATTCCACTTTTGGTCCTAGTAATGTAATATTCTATTCCATTACAGAAACATACCGTTATAGAGACCTATTTTTTCCATTTGTAGTTAGATTGATAAACAGATTATCCATTGCGTAGCTAAAAAACATTGCTGATCTCCGGGTTTTGATCCTTGACCTCCAGGAAGTTCTGCGCTCCAACCTAAGTAGGCCCTACCTAAGTCCCATATACCTAAGTTTTAAACAATTTTTAGGCGTGCTTTTGACACACAGTCATCTCATAGTTACAAAGACTCTTGGTGTCATAACTAGTTTAATACACTAATTTTTCTATGGATTCTTCATTAATTGCACTTTTAGGAAATAAAAACTCCGTCGTGTGCATGACTCTAATGCCACAATCGAGTGGTCACATGACTCTGTCGCTATGTAGCCCGTCACATCAGTGCAGCTCGGCTACATGTGCATTCTGCAATCACAACATTCTGATGGTGGCGTGATTTGGGCAATTTCCGCCTTCACACGCACGGCGACCAACTCTGCTCGCGACATTAAAACCTAAACCAAACCTCTCCACTGCCTAACTATACCAATTAGAAATATCGTTAAAGTTATAGTTTTTTCCGTGTTTGTCTTCAGTCCAACTTAAAATATTTAGTTATACAGGAAAAACTGTTTATTCCATACTCCGCGGAGCTGGTAATTTTTTAGGCGGGATGAAAAATTCCAGCTAAAGTCGAAAAACATCTGCTGTAAATCTTATTCATTTTTAAACTGGTGTTAAAGAATAAAATAGTTCTGATTAAAGAATATAGTGTACTTTTATATCATACTCTAAATTATTTATGTTTATCATTGTGTAACATGTTTTATTTCAGAACAAAATACCCCTCGGTCGTTTTTAGGCTAATTAAATGTATAGATATTTCTGCAATTTGAATTTATTATTTCGTTCTGTAATGTTATTCGATACATCTTATTTCCACGCAAGAAACACAGACCAAAAAATAGTTGCGTACACCAGTAACAACGGTTTGATCATGAACGATAGACGCAAATTTGGGAGCTGATTTATAAGGATACCCAAAATACAGCACTTTCCTTTTGTAAAATATGATGCTTAAGAATGGTACAGTAAGTAAAAAACATATGGTGAACCACACGAGCCGAAAGGATCTTTTCTACTCTCGCTCATTTTCCAACTTTAAATTCGTTTCGGTTGCTTTGCTCGTGTCGATAAGAGTCACTTGGTGTTGAGATAGTTTAGTGTTGACATTTACTTACATTTGATTTGTTAATCTCCTGTTGACATTGGTTTTATTAGGAATCGGATGAGAATTGTGTGGATTTGATTTTGTGGTTTGTGTTTTGATTCATCTAGTTGTGTGCATTTTTATGCGTTTTAATAGAGTTTAATTTTCTTTATAAACCAAGTAAACTATTTCTAATGCAACCTTGTTTGTGTGTTTCGCATACTTTAAACTGTTGCATTACATTATTATGTGGTTTAGTTAGAATAATTACAGTATTATTTTAACATGATAGTTCATTTTTTATATAGGTATTTCTAAACATGTATAAGTGCATTTATATGCTAATACTTTTGGGAATGTCGTTTAAGAATTAATTTGGCATTTTACATCACACTAAAAATAATGCCCTAAATAAAATATAAACTTAAAACAACTTTATTCATCGAAAAATAACTTTTTGGTCAACCTTTATGACTGTTGGTTGAAGGTTTTACTGACATATTTGACTGTTTTTTCGGCGTTCTATTGATTCTATTAAAGTACAATCAAGCGAAAGGCTCTACATACTGGTATAAGATTAAATACTTCTTGATCGATTAATTTCCATCTTATGTTTGCAAATAAGTTTGCTTATTGATTTGAATTACTGTATATTGATCACTTTAAACTCATCTCATAAAAACAAAATCAAGCATTGTGCTACAACACATACCCATTTGCGTATATGAGGTGATTATATAATTTGATTTCGTTTAATTCCACTTCTAGGATATTCGAATGGGTAATATAAAAGCAATTTTGCATTGTGCATTAATAAATGCAATTTTATGTTAAAACTTTAACTCATAATGACCCAAGAAATCCATCAAAATCCTCTAATCTACCAACATCTACAAAATTGTGAATTTCTTCAAATTTTAAACTGAAATTTTGTATATTTTCCCATTTGAGTTTGATGTTTCAATTTAGAGGCTCGGTAAAGTGAGATTCGTAATTCACACAGCAGTTGCCCGCATCAAACTAATAAGAAAATTATATACAAGAGATGGATAAAAAAGTGTAATGCTACATTTAAAAACATCCCAATATTTGCACTAAACTGTCCACATCCATATTGCCCCAATATGAATGACGAACAAAAACTCACAATCGATCACGTGATAGTTCATCCCCTAACACAGCATCCTCCGGGGTGCATCCGCCGGGGGGGGGGGAGGGGGGGAGATGCATCCATGCATATTTCACCCCGCGACCGCAGGCTGCCGTAGTTTCGGTATATTTTGCAATCGTTCGCGACCACGAAATATTTATGTGCTCCGGGTGAGCAGATTGCATTTGTCCTATTTATCAGTTCAGATCGCCATCGAATCTCGGTGCGGCGTTTGTATTATGGAACACCCTGCATATCCACAACTAGAGTAGTGGGCAGCGGCCGACCGCGGGGCGAAATTAGTTTCGGCTTAGGTATTTAGTCAGTGGGTCAAATTTGGCTTTTGAATGTAGTTTGAAAGACTTTAGTGCAGCTGAAATCTTTGAAACTATTATAGTATGATTATTATTTTAATTTTTTTCTCTATTCCAGCCGCATTCTTGTTAGGAAGAATCACAAACGTTTCCAAGCGAAATCAGTCCAAAAGCCTAAGAATTTTGGACATATTCTGGTGAATTGAACTAGTACCCCTCACACAAACGTTCAATGCGGTTTTAGCGCTTTGTAATAAGTGATGCTAAGTAAAGTAGCATTTGAATTTGAGTTTGTTTTGTTCAAGGATTGATTTCTTCCACATTACAAGCTCAAGATTAAGTACTAGTAAAACAAAATCTTTTCTTTCTTAATTTAGAGAAAGTTTCTTTACAGTTTCGGAGCGTCGAAGAATTTTTAGATTCCATTAACTTTTCATCAACTAACCGTTAAGATATTAGGTATATTTGATTCACAGTATTTCAAATGTCAATCCAACTATAAAATTTCAGTCATCGGCTTAAGAGTGTTTTTTTTTAGAAGGATTTTTCCGGAAGGAAGGTAGTACTCTTTTGGCAGGAGACGGGTCATTACAATTTCGGAACGCCATATATTCCTTAATCTTCCTCAATATTTAGCTAACTAATGGTTAAAAGATCATGCATCACAATAATTGTGAAAAATATAAATTTGAGTTTTCTCTTACGGTTCCACAACACCAACGAATCCTCAAATAAAAGCAAATTCGTAGACTTGATTATTAACATGCGTTTGTTATTTCGAGGTCCATATTTGCACCAAAAATAATACAGTACATACAAAAAGTCTTAAATTTAAATTTTTTTAAATATGACTAGTTATGAGTTTGTTGAAGGCTTATATCACCACAGCCCTTCTCCAGTTACACCCTCGACTCCCCCTTGTGACAAGATCGCTCCCAAACCAGTCCACTTCCTCTTACCAACTGGATGGTCAAGATCAAAACACTGCCTAATACTTTGTCTTTCCTTATAACCTCGGTCACGTCATTCCTTTAGTATTATTAATAGTTCGCTTTACAAAATAAATTTAGATTTTCTTCACAAAAAAATGTCGAAACTCCTACACGCAGATTAACAAAAACTTACTGCAATTTCGTAAATATATAATTTCGTAGGTATACCTAAAATTAAACCTTAAATTTTATACAAATTATAGAATTAGATTATTGATTATAATTATCATTATGCGCACCTACGCGCGTATTTTAACCCACATTTGCGTGAAGGATGAGTGTAGAATTTTGTGAGATGATCTGTGTAGCTTTGTTACTGACTAAGATCAGTCGATTCAGTTAAGGTTTCCCTGATAGCGTATAAAATCTTGTGCTATATTATATTATTTAACTGCACTTTATATTTTGCGGTAAAGTTACACATTCAATGAAATGTTTGGAGGATTACCTAGTCATGGATAAGGTTGTCTTAGGAATATTTAACTACTTTAACTTATTTTCACGATATATGTATAAACGTGAGTGTCGAGGTGAGTTAGTATTAAGATTCTTGGGTAGTTTATGGATATTTTCTTGTATTTTTTTCTGGGTATTGACAATTTTTGTTTCATTTCAGGGAAGAGCTTCAGCATCACGATCACAATATCCTGCAACCCTCCCCAAGTCGCCACCTACAACAAAGCCATCAAGGTCACCGTGGACGGACCCCGGGAACCTAGGTCCAAGACCAGTGAGTAACTTAGACATGCAAGTTTATAAGTACGGGTTCTCTGGATGCTGAGCCAACAACTGATTTTATAGTTAAATTACATACAAGTTAGGGAAAGCAAATAGTCGACGAAGTTCATGACCATTTTACTCAAATTTCATTCTATTGTGTCACTCGCGGCTATTAGAACAGAAACGGTATCGATCATAAATATTATAAAATTGTATCACTGACTTGAAAGTAAACATGCTTGTATTTATATTTATATCAAACTGTCAAAAAAACTGGCAAGCCATTTTTAATTAGTATATACTTGGGCTAGTGACGTCATTTAAGATACATACGGTTTCTGTTCTAATATCTACACATCCGTTACACTAATGGTTGCAAAGTCTATGGGACGAATACAAGCAATAAAAGTAGGTCAATGTCATGATCATAAGTGACCATAACATGTCATAAATGTTTGGATAAAATAAATACGCTAAGCCTAAAAACCTGTAGTTATTGACGACCCTTTTGAATTTCCTTTTCCAAAACAATCATGTAAAATTGTCAAATCCAGTTTAGAATTTTATTTGGCAATACTTTTGTTAGTTACTTGACCAAATGTAATAAGCAGAAGGACCCGAAACTACTTAACCTCGGCATCCGTATGACCGGCGCTACTAGGACTGGAAGTAGTTCGTGTGAACATGATCCCTTCTCTCCGACCAAATTACGTCTTCAATTTAGTGAAAGGTGTTCAACTGAGATGCCGCTTATTGAGACCAAATTGTCCCATTGGCGACAGCTTTCTTCCACTCTTATGTAAATTTACTTGGAGGATTCAGAAATTGCGGAGAAATCACACAGTAAGTCCTGTTTCTGTCCAAGTGACGTGGAATGAAAAGTCATATTCAATAGGAAAAGTTTGGGTTTAATGGCCCTTTCTCATAGTTAACATATGTTTTCAGTATCGGGTGGTCCATAATAACCGCTAAAATTTTGTTTTGTGGCAGTTCAGCTAATTTATGGTGATTTTTGCGTTGAATGGTTCTTTAATTTATAAAACTTTTCGTAATTGTAAGTCGTCAAACTATTCAACTTTTCTAATGTTTAAGTGGCAAAAAATTAATAATGTGTGAATTCTATCCAATGTTTGTTTTGCGGGTGAGAAGTAATAAATAAAAGAATGACGTGCAAAATAACAATTACAGTGTATTAACAATTCCAAAAAATTAATTCATTAATTTTAGTTGTATTCATATTTCTTTGAGGTTTAAATTAACTTTAATTGTTATTTGACAGAGCGTTGTTTTATTTATTACTTAGCACCCACAAAACAAACATTGCATAGTTTTAACTTACACTTGTTATTTTTTATGACACCTTAGAAAAGTAGAATACTTTAAACAATTTATAAGTACAAACAATGCTATTAATTAAGAAAAACTTTGACGCAAAAATCATCTCTCTGAACCCATGAATTAGCTGAGCTGTCACAAAACAAAATATTAGCATTATTCTGGACAACACTGTACAATAACTTACAGTAACTTACTGTTGTATGACATGTCCACTGGACATTGCCCAGGCAGAACTTAAAATCTAATCAACCATAGTTCTAGCCAGCTGATTCGTTTTTAATGCAGATCTTTAACTAATAACATTAAAAAAATATTAAGCCTAAACGGATATACATACGTATATGTTACAGTAGTGCTCTAATTTGGACAGTTATTCATAGTATTATAATCATTATAATTTATTTATAAAGTTATGGGTGTTAAGTCTAGGAAGTACTGTATAAAATGCAATAGTCAAAAAGTTTACAAGAAGATATTTCAGGATTCTTTTCTTTCAATAATCCCGATAACATATCTTATTATTTTGTTATGTAGTTTTTCTGATGTCTTGTAGTAGTTGATAAACTTACTGCCAATTTCTGAATTATTTTTACAAAAAAAGTGTTACAATGTCCGGGTTAGGTAAAAACTGACCTTTTTATTGTAAATAATAATGTGCGTTAATTTTCTGATTAATCCAACAAAAACCTAAAGTTTTAATTGTTTTCTGAGTTATTGGCTGCCATAGAATGATTTACCTACTTACTTTTATACTGTACTTTACAATTTAAATTCCGATAGTCTGCACCTCTTTTAAACCATCTGGGTTGGAAAAAGCTACAACTAAAGCCGGGTTTACACTATGTAGCAAAAACTGCTATATAACTTTTGCTATATAACATTGTTATATAACTTTTGCTATATAACATTGCTATATAACTTTTACGATACAAAAAAGTTACAGACAATTTTGTGATTCCGGTGCCCGTGCTATATGTTATATGTAGCACAACCTCATTTACATTATGTATCGAAAATGTCGAGCCGAAGAGACATTGTTCGAGGCAGCTATCACGGTGATCGGAAGTCAGAAGCGGAAGCGATCCATAATTAAAACGCGAAATAAGACGATAGTAGATTCAAAAATGTTTTACGTATGACCACAACGCCGGTTGTCCACGGAACAGTTCAATTAAAGTTTATAATAGCATCCCGATCCCACGCACTGTCGCTTTACAGTCTTTCCATTGTAAACAAAGATCCCCGAGCAAAAACGTCCGTACACAGGAGGCTACAACTGTGAACTTTTGTGAACTGTTGACACTAAATGCTACATATAGCAGATGCTAGACGAAAAATATTTGTATAACATTGCTACATATAGCAATGTTAGATGTAGCATGCATTTCTTTTGATCTTTACCGACTCCCGATGGATAGCACAATTTTTGCTATATATAGCAGAATCTGCTACATATAGCAGTGTTATATAGCACTTTTGAAAAGTGACTCTTTCTACTTCTAGCAAATGTTATATAACATTGCTAGATGTTACACAAATCTGCTATATAGCAGGTTTTGCTACATAGTGTAAACCCGGCTTTACTGTACTTAACCTAGAATATTGTATGATGTCTCCAAAGAAAAAATCATTACAATCGCGAGGAAATATCAATAGCTTCTCCTATAACAATAAACACACACACACACACACACACATCAACAAATCACATTTATATACTTAAAACTAATTTCTTGAAATCAAATTGTAGTGAATAAAAATTCGACAAACCAATATTTTTTTCTTTTTTTTTCCTAGGACGCTAGGCACGAGCCCGGAATTGTTTTTCACATTACTTCAGGCTAGACCTAGGGGTTGCGGCATTATCACATGGATAAAATCCATTGGTGATATGGCGGGATTTGAACCCGGGACCTCTGGAACCGAAGTCCCGCGCCCTAACCACTAGAACAGCTCGCTCGCCCCTCCAAACCAATATTAGCATATTTTGTAGCCAACAGTAATAGCAATACTAACCATGCATAACATGATTTCTTTCATACTATAACTATAATTTAGGGCAGTCATAACTAATAGCAGTATTTGAGTGACAAAAAGGCGGGTAGCACGCCTAAACACGCTATTACCCCAGTTGTGGGGTGGGTGCGTGTGGATACAATAGCGCCACGTTGGGCGGTTGTACAAATTGGTATTCTAATTTAATAATGAGCCTAAACAGGCACATTAGGGATAACATGCGAGCTTGTCCGACATATGTAGCCCACCTTGCTTCCGCCGCGAAACGAATATGATAGGTTGTCAAAGAATCGACCACACTGAGAGCGATTATCGATACTATTCAGCGATATCGATATAATGTTAAGTAAATCCGTAATAACCAGTACTATCGATATTATTTAGTGCTGTTCTATAATATTTGGTAATATCGATTAGTGTTAGTTCATACTATTCAGCATTATTAAACCCTATTCCCTATTCAGAAATGTCTATACTATTTAACGATAATCGATAATATCAAGCGATATCAATCTATTTAGCAATATCATTAATATTTGGCTATATTGGTTAACAAAAATTGGTTTGACCTCTTTGCATGACCAAACAGGCTTTCAGATTTTTCAAAAGTTTGGGAAACTCTGGGACTTCCTTAGGAAGGCTCTAGCTAATTTCTCTTTTGATATAGACCTGAAGATCTGTTTATGTGGTTAAGTTGTCAAGATAGTTTTCTTATCGTTCAAAGGATGTGTGTGAACAATCACTACACTTTGACTTACATTTTACAACTAAGCTAGCCGTTAAGAGTCTAATTATTTGTAAATTGTACCCCAATAAACTAGACAAATGTATTCGAATATTTCATAACGTACACTCAAATTAACTGTTATTTACAAATTATTTATGTAGGCCTAATATATAAGTTTTTCTTATAAATATTTTTAATCAGCATTACTATTACTTTCAACAGTGGACTTCAACAGTTACAAACCTGTCTACTACCTGTACTTACTGAAAGAGCCACATTTCGCATGGTAAACATTTAAAAGATAAATACGTTTATGGTTAGGAATACAGTTAGTAAATAACAAACAAACCGTTGCAGGTATTACCATTATATATGGTAATTAATTACCACTAAACCACCTACACCACTGACCACCTGATTTACTCGTAGAAAAGTTACATAAATAGCATCATATTCTTCTCAATGGCATCCCACTGTGCTGTTTAGAGTGCATTAGGTTTGTAATAGGTAGTATAACCTAATACTGACTGTTATACCACATTGGATTGCACAGGGCAGAGTATGTGCAAGTGATTAGTATAATTATTGTACATATTCAAATGTCCTTTTGGTAAATTTAATTTTTTGAATTTTTTTTATACATCTTCTATGTTGGGTGTTCTTCATTTTGTGTTACATTTTACTTTAGAATTAATTTTATTAATTTAACTTTCAATGAAAATAGTAAAACATTGTTTTTATATCTAAACTACCCATTTCATGCATACATGAACCGTAGGACAAATAATATTTTTACGCAAAATAGCTACTGTATCCTTTATATCACGTATGAGGATTATTAAGTAAGGAGTACATTTATTTAATTTGATCAATATCCTTTTATAGCATCATCTCATTAAATAAACCATTTGTTCTCTTTGATTGGATAATGTTAGTA